ACCTGGATTCTATCCTCTTGAAATTTATATATATATATATATATATATATATATATATATATATATATTGACCACTAATATTATCAATATATATATATATTGAACACTAATATATATATATATATATATATATATATATATATATATATATATATATATATATATATATATATATATAACTTTCTGTCAGTTGGATAAATTGTTTTGGATTGTAGATGCTAAGGAGTTAGTAAAACAGAGATTAACTTAGATGGAAAATTCTTGGGGGTGCCACTATCGAATCTTACCAAAATATAAATCAGCGCCTCGGATTTTTTCAAGTATCCATTCCTAAAAGATATATTCTTTTTCTCAAGCCAAAATAATTCGGTTTAAAAATATTCATTTGAACCTATAAAATTCTTCTAAGGAAGGCATCGAGTGGATTGAAACCTAAATTAAACCAAGTAAGAATCAGTAAAATCCACTACGACGGACATTTCAGCCCTTGACCCATAGCCTCGAGGAAGACGTGATGACATGATTAATATGTTTGCCAAGTTTCTGCAAAACGAAATTGGGAAATGTTATCTAAAATGTTCGGTCTCGAGTACTTTAGAAGTATGGGTCACGCGCAGTGCTAATAGAAAGTTCTTTGTTTCACAAAGGGCGTCTTTGTGGGAGTGATTAATTAAGCTAAGTCGACGTTCGGCCCGTTATCCGTATATATTACTCAGTTCGCTTTTGTCAGCCAAGGATAAATAACACTGTCGTGTGCTAGCAGGAAATTTGGCAACACACCTGCATTTCGCAAATTAGATATCTCTCAATGCCTCAAGAGAAAAAAATACTGAAGACGAACCGCATGAGTGTGATGGCTGTAATTTTTTATTTTCTCACCATTAGCAAGTTGTTGACAACTTCGTCCATTCTTAGAGTATTGCTGCCACATATGGACCGGTACTCCTGTTATATATGTAGAGATTCTTGATTAAAACCAAAGAGCAATATTATTGTTCCTCATCTGGCATCTCGGCTTCAATCACTTTCCCCACTAAATTTTCTGTGACGAATTTTCTCATTTAGGACTTCATCGTACTAAAGTGATGTTTGTTAAAAAGAAAATTAATAGGGCCGTTTGTAAAACAAATTTAATAGGGCCGTTTGTAAAACAAATTTAATACGGCCGATTTAAAACAAGTTTAATAGGGCCGTTTTAAAACAAATTGAATAGGGTCGTCTTCGATGCAAATTTAATAGGTCAGTCTGCGAAGCAAACATAATAGGGCCGTCTGTGAAGCAAATTTAATAGGGCCGTTTGCGAAGCAAATTTAATACGGCCGCTGTTTTATAATAAATTTAACAGGGCCGTATGTGAAGCAAATTTACTAGGGCTTTAAAACAGATTTAATAGGGACGTCTGCGAAGCCAATTTAATAGGCAGACTGTAAAGCAAATTTAATAGGGTCGTTTGCGAAGCATATTTAATAGGACCGCTTTAAAAGAAATTTATTAGGACCACCGTTTTAAAAGAAATTTAATAGGGCCGTCTGGGAAACAAATTTAATAGGGCCGTTTCTGAAGCAAACAAACAAATTTATTACAGCCATCGTTTTAAAACGAATTTATTAGGGCCATCGTTTTAAAACAAATTTATTAGGGACACCGTTTTAAAGCAAATTTAATAGGGCCGTTCCTGTAGCAAATTTGCTCATTAATAGGCCCTATTAAATTTGTTTTAATGCTACCTATTAAATTTGCTTATTAATAGGCCCTATTAAGTTTGCATAGCAACGGCCCTATGAAATTTGCTCATCAAAATTGCTAGCATGAAACAGACTGTCGCATCTGAGCATTGAATTCAATGTTCACTTTTATATCTATACATGCTCTATCTCTGATATTGAGCACTTTATCCCATAAACATAGCACACCTTAAGACTATATTTCTTCATATATATATATATATATATATATATAGGATGTATCAAAATACTTTTACAAAGTTTGGGGCGGGTTCCTCATATCAAAACAAAAGTCAAAAGTCCATATTGACATATATCCGCAAATCCTTCGTTTTTTATTTATTAAGTTTAAAGAAAGTTTACGATAAATGGCGCTCTGTTGCAATGTGGACTAGGTTACATTTGTCATTCGTATACATTTATGGATAGTCTGTCTTCTACGTTTAACTTGTTTACTAGTAAGTTAACTGAGAAGTGTTCCGTTTAACAATGGCAGGATATTCATATCGTGCGCAGTCAGATGTGACACTTTGCATATTTCTTTTGAGTTGCTGCGTTAAGGTACAACGATTGGCCTTGCGGACATATGTTTATATTGATATTTTACCTTATTTTGGTTCCAGAAGCGCGCCCCCAAAGTTTACATACGGACACACGAATGTTAATGGACGCGACGCCTCACGGCTGTATTAGATTGCGTTTCCAGACAGTCGAGTCTTCCAACTTTTGCTGCTGTTTATTGTGGCGTTGCTGAAACAGAATCCGTGGCACCACAAACTATGGAACGAGGAAGATCGAGATCCGCTCGTAAGCCTGACCACGAAGAACACATTTTACAGGATGTTGGTGTCGATCCACGTATGAGCACCAGTCAAGTTGCCCTAGCATGACGTACATCTCATAGTACCGCATAGAGGGTACTTCAAGAGCAGCTCCTGTATCCGTATCATTTGCAACGTGTGCAGGGTCTTTGCCCTCTGATCACTGACTACGGCAGAACTTTTATTGCAGATGGTTTATTGTGCAAACAGCCGATTCGTTGTTTGGTTCTTCAGTCTTATTTATACAGCCGACATTAATGATTCAGAGACGCTTCATCGACGTGTCATGGGGACCTGCGAAACCATTCGACACTGTGTGTGTGTATCTGAAAGGGTCCGCCAGTCAATGATCCGACGGGTGCATGCGTGTGTAGAAGCAAGCAGAGGACATTTTGAATATTTGTTATGAGTTGCCGCGTTAAGGTACAACGACTGGCCTTGCGGACGTACGTTTTTATTGACATTTTACCTTATTTTGGTTTCAGAATCCCGACCCCAATATTTGTCAAAATACTTTTGGAATGTATTTTGGATTGTACATTTAACATCACCTACCGTAAACTTAAAACTTAATTACTCAAAAACAAAGAATTTACGGACATATATGTATATGAACTTTTGTCCTTGTTTTGGTGTGGGGAAACCGTGCCCAAAGATTGTAAAAGTATTTTTGATACACCCTGTATAAAATCCGATATTTATTATTTTTAAGCTAATTTTAAAGGGGTCACACTATATACGAGATCTAAAATTAGCCTATGTACTGATGGCCCTGACTACGCCGTTGACCAAACTATATATTCATTTACTCTAGGCAAATTATCTATACTATTTAAATCCTTATAGATAATCAATGGAAGGGGTGGTAAAAAGTGGGGGATCAGTTTTGTATCATTATTTAGTATTACACACAAACCCCGTTTCTTGGCCATAGTAAGTTCATAGATGGAATTCCAAAACATATTTATTGGTAATCAAATGAAAGGATGACAGAAAGTGAGGGATCAGTTTTGTATTGTTCTTTAGTATTACCCCCCCCCAATTTTTTGACAACTGTATATGCTATCCATTTCTATAATCTAGATAGGATTTAAGTAACTTCCAAACAATATTCTTATTGGTTTGTTACCGTATATACTCGCGTATCATGCGAATTTTGAAGACTTAATTCTGTAGCTAATTTTAAGGAGGTCGCATCATACAAGAGATATAATATTAGCCTATGTACTGCGGGCACTGGCTACGCCGTTGACCAAATTATATATCCATTTACTGTAGTAAAAAAGTACAGCTGTATTTAAAATAAACATGATTTTGTTAAAACTGATGTTTTCCTTAATTGTATCTAATAATGATGCATGTAATATTCACATATCAATATCGTATTATAAAATACAAACATAGCGAATATGCATCTTTTCCATGGTTTACGTTTATACGATGATAAGCTGTTTCTCGTTCGGTTGTTTATGGCTGGGCACATTTACGCAACAAGTATAGCTAACGATACTTTTATCATTCTCTTTTACTTTTTTAACTTATACAAACCAACCATTCGCCCTTGCATGGAGTATTGCTGCCGTATATCGTCAGGATCCCCTTCTGTTTGTCTCAAGGTTCTTGATAAAATCCA